TCAGATCGGTATAGCGACAGCTGGGGCCCCATACCTAGGAGCCAAGGGGGTTGTGAGCCTGCAGACTTCACTAAACCCGTTCGTGGACACAGAAATACTTAAAAAAAAAATTGTAACATTTAACAAAAGCATTAACAAAAGACTGATTTAAGTTTCTGTTTGGTTTTAGATGAATAGAAGATGAAATCAGTTAGCCTCACCCTATATTTGTACCTACGGCAAATGTGGGAAAAATGAGCTTCAACGAAGTATCTGTGTGTTTCATATCTCCAGGAGAGTAGCCTCTGGTTTTTGTTATTAATTTAACATGCTGGGGCTGACAACATAAGACATTGAAAGAGACAGAGTGAGGACACAAATATGCTGCTGTTAATTGCCTTCAAGTAATGTCCCACTCGTGCCGACCTTATTAAACACGATTCTAACATGACAACTAGCTGTTCAATCCAGTGCCTTCTTCACGATCATTGGTTTGTTTGAGTTCATTATGACAGATATTATTTTAATCCATTTATCAACAGTTTCTTTCATTTTTACTGACCTCATTTTTACAAATCATGATGTCCTTTTCTCAAAACTGTTCTTCCCTGAGGATATTCCCCAAATAAGCAAGTGGTAGTCTTGCTATGATTCCTTCTACGGAATATGCTGGTTGTAGTTTTTCCAAGATGGATTAGTTTGTTTTTTTGAAAGTCTACCAAACATTCGGTATTCTTCACCAACACCACCGTTTGAATGTATTGACTCTTCTTCTGTGTTATATGTTGAGAAATCCCTTTGAGGAGTGCGTGGGAAGTGTGCAGCATCCTCTCACTGGCTCTCTGAATCCTATGGGCCAGGTACTGCTCAAAGTCCTTGTCAATGTTCAAGAACTACCAGTCTCATCTTTTGTTATTAAGTGGAAAGCAAAGAACTCAGCAACTGTCATAGTTGATCATGTGCTGTTCTGGAATTCAAAACGAGATACAAATAATTTCTGTAAATACATTTCTATTCTTCCTTGAATAGACTACCTTCTGGCCATCTCAGTATTTTCTTAAGCATAAAACATAACAGATGGAGGACCTGTGTTGCAAAATAAGAGGCACAATTGCTTAGACATTTAAAGAACTTGCAATGCTTGATAGTTGAGGAGAATTTTTAGCAAAGAAATGAAGCTAACAAAAGTATCCATAGTGAAGTGTCTCTGTAGTTGGGACAAATAATCATAAAATTGAAATAATAAAAGCAGCTAAGGCTTGCATCATGTTTGATAAAATAGTCAGGGGTGTGGTGGGGAGGAAGACCGCAATGAGATGGGTTCGCATTGGGCCTGCAACTGTGGTCTCACACAATGTAAGGATTGTGAGGATGGTAAATGTTCCATTGTTTGTGAGGTAAAGGCCACAAGCCCCTGAACAATCCTAAACTCTGGTTCTCAAGCTCAGCTTTTTGACATTTGATTAGTGGTATGGGCAAGGTACAACACCTATCAGTTTGGTAGACTGTAGGCGCTTGTGTGTTGCTATGAAGCCAGAAGCTATGCCACTGGTATTTTAAATATAAACAGGCTTACCCATGGTGGACAGATTCCGGCAGAGTTTCTAGATTCAGCAGAGAAAGACAAGCCAAAAAATAAAAAAAAGTTTGGCAATTTCCTTTGCAAAATTAGCCAGTGAAAACTCTCTGGCCCACCATAAAAGATGATCCTATATTGTGCTTGGAGAGGAGCTGGTTACGCTGGAAGGCACTCAACATGCACAGTGGCTGCAACAATGGGCTCGAGCACACTAGTGATCGTGAAGATGGTGCAGAATCAGGCAATGTTCTTTTGTTGTACACGGGGTTGCCATGAGTCAGACTAACTCAATGGTAACTGCAACAACAACACGGGCAAGACATATTCTCCAAACAGTAATTTCCTCCTCAATAAACCAAGGGTTTCTGTAAGATTCAACAGATACATTTTGGCAGGTAAACAAAAGTAAAGGAAGATCTGAGTTGTAAAATGGCATATAATACTGCTTTGTGAAACGAGGACTTCCCATAGAAATATACCCTGAGGAGAAAAAAGACATCATTGGTTTTGGGGTGCTAGCATGTTCATATCAGGCCTGGATACCTCAAACCTCTGCTAAATGAATTAGAGCTGATGTTATCTGCCCTGATTATATAATTTTTAAATAATCACTCGAGGAGCTTAAAAAATACAGTCACCTGATTCTCACTTGCATTGATTTGGGGAGAGATATTTGTAGTTTTTAAAGGGTCCCAGGTATTGTCTAACATGTAGCCAGGGCCGGGAAATGAAATAGTAAACTCAAATGACATGTCAACTATCAAAGATCACTGATCAAGATTGCCACCTTCAATATGGATAGCAACTAAATGTCAAGAAACCAAAAAGCTTCACAATGGGAGCAAAAGGTGGCATCATCATAAACAGAAAAGTTTGAAGCTGTCAAGGAGATTGTCTGGATTGTATCCACAATCAAAGCCAGGAAAGCAGCAGTCAAAAGATAAAACAACGCATCACAGGGGGTAAGTCTGTTTCATGAGACCCCTTTAAAGTGTTGAGAACTAGGGATGTTACTTGGAGGAATCAGGTGCTCGTGACCCACGCCATAGTATTTCCAATTGCCTCATTGGCATCTGAAAGTGGGACATGGAATAAGGAAGACCAAGGAAGAATCTTCAGTATTTTTGAATTAAGGTGCTGACAAAGAATATTCAAAGTACTGCGGACTTCCCAAGGAACAAACAGTCTTGGAAGAAGTGCAGTCAGAATGCTCCCTGGAAGCAAGGCTGGGGAGACTTCATCTCACTTACTTTGGACCTGTTGTTAGGAGAGATCCGTCTCCAGAGAAGGACCTCATGCTTGGTAAAGAACAAGGCCAGTGAAAGAGAGGCAGCTCTTCACCAAGATGAATTGACACTCGAGCTGCAACAATGGGCACAAACATAAGAAGACTCGTGAGGATGGCATGGCACTGGGCGTGTTTCACTCGGTTGTACATAGGGTTGCCCTAGGTTGGAATCAACCTGAGAGCACCTAACAAACACATCTACCGCATATACCGCTGTGTAAGTCGAGGTTTTCAGCACATCTTTAGTGCAGTTTTTGTGGTAAAATTTGATGCTTCAGCTGATATTCGGGCTGACTTATACTTGAGTATATACAGTATGTGAGCCTGGAAATCCTTTTCTTCATGTTCCATGCTTAATGTCTATAAAACTGTATTCTGAGGTGCAGATGAATGGAATGGAGGTAAAGAATAGTTTGACTTTTAGAGGGATGACTGTACACCAAACACACAGCTAGTGCCTGTGGTGATTCACAGAGCAGGCATGTTGTATATGTTTCATATCATATTGAAATCAGAAGGGTTCACATGCCACACCCTTACTTCCATATTTCTGTGTCTCTTGCAGAGATTGAAGAGTGTCTACTCTGGGTCCACATTAACTCAAAGCAGTATCAGAGGCTGAGTGGATGCTCACCCCTTGAACAAGACAGTACCTTCAGAGGGCCCTTCTTGCCCACTTTTCCATTTTTCTTACCTGCTTGGACCCTGGAAGTATCTTTGATTCCCCCTCTGCAGACAGATTGTGGTTGTGAAAGAGTGTGTCCTGGTATTCAATGTGTCTAGCATCCTTTTTTGCTACTTGATGATGTAGCAGGCAAAGGAAATATTAAGAGTTCTTTGATCTTGAGAAAAAGCTCAAGAATTTACTTCTCTTCTATCTCCCATTCCAGATTTCTCCCAACTTCCTGGTTTTTTTCTCTTTTCTATTCCCCAAATCTAGACATTTTATTTTTGTGAAAATGGCTGTTGTTAATAATTGTTCTGCATTTGGAAGGGAATAGTGATGCTGTTGCACCACATAAGGCACATGGTGTTACAGAATTTCCCACATTAGATAACTTCATTATCTAATGAAGTGTTTCCTATATTATACAAGCAATGCATATTCAGTGTAAAACGCTTGAATATTATAGCAAGTTATCCCAAGTTTCAATTATACCAATGAGAGATAATTGTTAATTTAGCTTATTTTATTCCAAATCTTATTCTTTTTATTAAGTAAAATATTTATTTATTAAATAAAATGTATAATCCCACATATCTTTTTGCTTACCAAGTATTTTCCCATGCAAATTTAATTTTACTATTCAGTAACATTAATACTTAGTATTTACTGTTTCCTTTGTGCCTGATATGCTGCTACTTAAAAAGTTGAATGTTGACTAGTTCTATTTAGTACAAAGACCCTGTATTCTTCCCATCTTCTTTAACTGCTTCCTGCATCATTCAATATTTTGCCCATAGACCCTTTCAATACTGTAACTTGAGGAGGCTTGAAGTTTTGCTTCTGGTTTTTCAGTTTAAGCTATGAGGAAATATTCTTACTTTTTGGTTCTTTAACTCTAGATCTCTACCCATTTCATTATAATATTTTACTTTGTCTTCTTGAACTGCCCTTTGAAAATTTCTGCTCAGTTCAATTCATCATTTCTTCCATTTCCATTTCAAGAAGTAGCATATGAGCAAGAATCAATGATACTGAAGGAAGATGGTCGAGCTGCACTGCAAGCAGTAGGCAAAACCAAGGTATTGATAGAGTACCAATTAAAGTGATTCAACAGTTGATCAAGCACTGGAAGCACTTACTCATCTATGCCAGGAAATTTGGAAGGCAGTTACTTGGCCAACTGACTAGAAGATTCATATTTGTGCCCATTCCAACGAACATCACCCAGCAAAGTGCTCAAATTATAGAGCAATATTATTAACATCACATGCGCTTGCAGCAGTACATTGATGGAGCTGCCATGAGTTCAAGCTGGACTCAGAAGAAGATATGGAACAAGGTATACCATTGCTGATATCAGAGAGATCTTGGCTGATAGTAGAGAATACCAGAAAAAATGTTTACTTGTGGATCATGACAAACTATGGGTATTCTTGAGAAGAATGGGAACTCCAGAACACTTAATTGTGCTTTTGCAGAACTTGTAGATGGATCAAAAAGCAGGTATGTGAACAGAACAAGGGAATATTGCATGGTTTAAAATCAGGAAGAGTGTGCATCAGAGCTATATCTTCTCATCATAATTATTCCATCTGTATGCTGAGCAAGTAACCTGAGAATCTGGATTATATGAATAAAAATGTGGTATCGGGTTTGGAGGAGGCTTATTAACAACCTTCGATATGCAGATGACACACCTTGCTTGCTGAAAGTGAGGAGGACTTAAAGCTCTTGTTATTGAAGATCAAGAATTGCAATCTTCAGTATAGAGTTAAACTCAATGTAAGAAAACCAAAATCCTCATAGATTGAAGTTGTCCAGGATTTCATCTTGCTTGGATCCACAATCAATGCTCATGGAAGCAACAATCCAGAGATCAAATGATGCATTGCATTGGGTAAGTTTGTTTACAGTATTGAAAAGCAGAGCTATTACTTTGAGGACTAAGGTGCACTAGACTCAAGTCATGGTGTTTTCAATAGCTTCATATGCATTTGAAAGTTGGACATTGGGTAAGGAAGATCAAGGAGTATCAATGCATTTGAATTATGGCGATGGCAAAGAATACCGAAAGAAACATGAATAGCCAAAAGAACAAATAAATTTCTCTTGGAAGAAGTACAGTCAGGATCTCCTTATAGGTAAGAATGGAGAAACTTTGTGTGACATATTTTGGACATGTTGTCAGGAGACCAAAGAGCCCTGGTGGGGTAGTAGTTACAGGTTGGGCTACTAACCACAGTCAGCAGTTTGAAACCACCATGGGATAAAGATGGGCCTTTCTAGTCCTGTGAAGGGTTACAGTCTCAGAAACCCACAGGGGAAGCTCTGCTTGTCATATGAGGTCACTGTAGATCCACATGTACTCATTGACAGTGACTGAGGAGACCAGTCCCTGGAGGAGGACACCATGCTTAGTAGAGTGAAGGGGCAGTGGGCAAGAGGAAGACTCTCAGCAAGATGGATGGAGACAGTGGCTGCAGTGATAGGCTCAAACATAGGGACCATTGTAGGGATGATGATGATTGGGTGGTATTCCGTACTGTTGTACGCGATCACTATGAATCAGAACCAACAGCATGTGGCCAATAGTACTCATAAGTACTCTTTATGCATTTCCTAATTTATTTCTCTAAATGCTCCAGTGAAGTAGGCACTATTATCCATATTTTATTAATGAAATACCAAGACCAGGAAAGCCTAAGCAATTTTTCCCAAGTGATACAGCTAGCCATTTTTAGAATCATGATTCAAACTTCCATCATCAAATGCCAGACCTTGCACTCACATGACTAAGCATAGTGCTTATATTAGAAATGAACTTTAATTAAACTTCTATTGTCATTGAATGGGAAAAAGATTTGAATTTGATAAGATACAGACAAATAAATACTATATTGCTTCATCCCTTCATAGTACTCCTTAAAATTCCCAAAGACCTTAATAATTTCAAGCCCTAAATGTTCTCTCTCTCTCTCTCACCCACACCCACACACACGCCTTTAAAATCTATCCAATTTTGTAATCCAGAAGATAACTTTTCCTTTATCTATTTGTTTCTTCCCATGTACCTATATGCAACCCATTGCCAATGACTAAGAGACACATGTTGCTTCTTACCCAGCTTCTGAAACGGTCCTCTTCTCTTCGTCTCCCCAAGAGCACCATCATTGGGACAGGAAAAGCCGCATGGCATCTACTCTTCTCACTAGTATCTTTGACGGTTGGGGACTCTTACTTTTTATTTCCTGCTGAAGAGGTAATATTGTAGATACGAATAGTCCTCATTGACATTGAGCTGTCTGTCAACGTCAGTGGTTTTGATCAAGGAACCCACTTCAGCTTAATAAGATCGATAGTTTTGGATTCCAGTTACAACTGTGATCTAATATTTCTGTGACATTGGAACAAATTACTTGACCTAAACTTCAGACTAGCTTTCTGATCTCTCAAAGGGAGATAATAAGGACTAGAGAAATGAAGGGTCTACTCCTCACACAGTGCCTACAACATAGCTTGTCTTCCACTGATACACTTTCAGTTTTTATCTCCCCTTTCACTCCTTCCTCTACTTTTGGTCCTCTATCCAGGTACCCAGAGCCCCCCTCCTGTCTCTGTCGCACTGTGTGCTCAGGGTGGGGTCACGAAACAAACAGTCAAGCTTCACAGACGGCCTGATTCCATCTGTCCTCCCATTAATTGAGTAGTTACCATGAAAGTGCCGTCTTTCAAACTAACCTGTTTACTTTTTACAGCATCTCCAGAAAGGACTCAGAATCCACTGGCATGTAATACTCTACTTTCTACTCGTCGGTACGCATTCCCCAGCTCTTCGCCTATAGTCACAACGCCTTCCGAAGAAGAGAACGATGTGGAAACCAGTTCCACTCTGGTCAGTGAAACCAGTGAGGACCCGCTGAGCTCAGACATCAAGGCGAAAATGAAGGAGAGAGGCGAAAGAGCTCCCAAGCAGGCCTGGAGCAGCCCATTTATGGAAAGTCAAATGGCGAAAAGGCCCACTCGACCACACTCGGCCGATCTTGTGTACCTGGAGGCAGCAGGCAGGCACATTCATACACATCCCCGACTTCCAGAGCGGTCCTCCAGCAACTCAGAGAAAGACTCTATTCTTCGTGGTAGGTATCGCCTTGTGGTTCCCAGCTCCTAGTTCTACACTGAAATCTGGCACTTTTTTTTTTTTAATGGTGATTCTAACAGCAAAATTCCTGATTGAATGGCAGGTCTTATTCCAGAAGGTACAAAGATAACTGGATCAGTCTTTACTGACAGCCAATTGTTACCTAACTTTGGATGCAAGTAGAGAACAGGTATGAGTTGATAACAAAGCTTAATGACTCAGGTATCATAGAGGGTAATAATGAAATCCTATTATACATGTTATAATATAGAATGATACATTGTTACTACAATATACATGTATAAGGAGCCCCAGTAGAGTTCTTGGGTAGTCACTGGGCTACCAACTGCAAAATCTGCTGTTAAAACCCACCAGCCGCTCTGAGGGAGGAAGTTGTGGCTCTCTGCTCCTACAAGATTTACACCCTTAGAAACCTCATCTATCGACTTGATGGGCTGTGATATGTATATATATATATATTATATATAATAACTTCCATTCCCATTTATTGAGTTCTCATGCTGTGTCAGACACTGGACTGAGCATTTTACATCACTTGATGAACTCTTAAGTATACTCAAAGGCAAATAGTATCATTTTGCTTGTTTTACAAACCAGAAACCTTAGTTTCATGTTGCTATTAGGAGGTCTCAAGTCCAGCCAGACGCATAGCTACATCTGTACAACAGAACTGCCCAGTCCTGCACCATCCTCGCAGTGAATGTTAGGGTTGAGCCCAGTTTTGCAGCCATTCTGCCAGTCATCTCTTTAAGGGCCTTCCCCCTTATCATTGCCCCACTGCTTTATCAAGCATCAGGTCGTTTCCCAATGACTGGTTTCTTTTGGTAACATGCTCCTCCCTTCAAGGGAGCATTCTGGTTATACACTTTATTTTTATTTCTTCTTTTGGAAGTCAGTAGTCCCTTTACTATTCTTTTTTTTTGTTTTATTATTATTATTATAATCTTATTGGGGACTCTTACATCTCTTATCACAATCCATACATTCATCCAGTGTGTCAAGCACATTTGCACATATACTGCCATCATCATTTTCAAAGCATTGTCTTCCCACTTAAGCCCCTGATATCAGCTCCCTATTTCTGCCCTCCCCTCCTCCACCCGTCCTCCCTCACAAACCCTCACAAATATAATATATATTATAATCTATAATAAGTTATAGATTATTATTTTCATAGCTTACATCATCCTCCATCGCCCCTCACCCACTTTTCTGTTGTTTGTCCCCCTGGGAGGGGATTATATGTTGGTGCTTGTGATCGATTCCCCCTTTTCTTCCCACCCTCTCCCCTAATCCTTCTGGTATCTCTAGTCTCCTTGTTGACCCTGAGGGGTTTATCTATCCTGGCTTCGCTGTGTTGCAGGCTCTTATCCGTAGCACCCTTTACTCTTCTTCACCAACACCATACTCAAGTCTTCTCCATTCTTCCTTATTCACCATCCAGCTCTCACTTGCCTATGAGATGATAGAAAATGCCATCGCTTGGCTTAGGTGTACATTCGTCTTTAAGGGACATCTTTGCTCTTCGTAACTTTAAAAAAGCCGTGGGCAGCTTTTAAAAAAGCCTTGGGCACCTTTTCTTTCTTATCTACACCTTCCATGAATGTTGACTGTGGATTCAAGTAAAATGAAATTCTTGGCAAATTCAGGTTTTTTGCCTCTGCTTATGAAGATGTTGCTGCTGGTTAAGTCGTGGGGGTTGGTTTGCTTTACATGGAGCTGTGATCCACACGGACCGCTGAGGTCTCTGAGCTGCATCAGTAAGGACTTCACTTTCAGCAAACAGGGCCGTGCCCTCTGCATACCTCAGGGATTCATTTTAATGAATACATCATTTTATTGGGGGATCTTGCAACTCTTATAATAATCCATACATCATTTGTTATCAAACACATTTGTACATATGTTTCCATCATCATTTTGAAAACATTTCTTTCTGCTTGAACCCTTGGTATCAGCTCCTCTTTTTTCCCCCCCTTCCCCCCACCTTCTTACCCTTGTGGGCCCCTGGTAAATGATTAGTATTTTAATATCTTTCACCATCTTCTGTCTCCTTTTGCCCACATTTCTATTGTTTGTCTCCCTTGGGGGGTGTAATATGTGGATTTTTGTAGTCGATTACCCGTTTCTACCCCTTGTCCCACAACCTTCCCTCTCCCCTTATAGTATTGCTACTCCCATTACTGTTCCTGAGGGGTTTATCCTAGAGTCCATATGTTGAGAGTTTTTACCTGTACCAGTGTACATGCTCTGCTCTACCTGGATTTGTAAGGTAGAACAGGGGTCATGGCAGTTGGGCGTGGGGGGGTGGCATTAAAGAACTAGAGGAATGATATGCGTTTCTTTAGTGTTTTACTGCACCCTGGCTGGTTCGTTCCTTCCTTGTGACCCCTCTGTGAGGGAATGTCCAATTGTCTACAGATGGGCTTTGGGTCTCCACTCTGACCTGCATCATTTGCATCAATATATTTGTTTGTTTTAGGTCTTCCGATGCCTGATACCTGAGCCCCTCGACACCTCATGATCACACAGGCTGGTGTGCTTCTTCCATGTGGGCTTTGTTGCTTTCCTACTACATGGCCACTTGTTTAATCTCAAGCCTTTAAGACCCCAGATGCTATATCTTGTAATAGCTGGGCACCATCAGCTTTCTTCATCACATTTGCTTATGTACCCATTTTGACTTCAGTGATTATGCAGTTAAAGTGAGCATCACAGAATGCCAGGTTATTAGAACAAAGTATTCTTGCATCGAAGGAGTACTTGAGTAGAGACCCAATGCCTGCCTATTACCTTGGTAGTTAATGTTTAAATGTATGTGCCAAGACCTATATTCCTATTAATATATATTAACATATTTATTATGTGCATGCCTATATATATTTATACCTCTATAAATGTCTTCTGCCTCCTAGTTCTTGGTCATATGGTTGAATATTGATCAATTATTTTTGATACTGCGATTGATTCTGTGTAGTCCTTCCACTGTCTTTAGATACTTCCTATGTCATTTAATATTTTGCTCAAAAAATCCTTTAGCATTTCCAAGTGAGGCTTACATTTTTTCTTCAGTTCTTTATGTTAAGCATGTTCTTCTCTTTTAGTTTTCTAACTCTAAGTCTTTGCAAATGTCACTTTGTATTTTTCTTTATTTTCTTGGACTGCCTTTTGAAGTTTCATGTTCAGTTCTTTGACTACATTATTTGTTCCATTGGCTTTAATGACTGTGTTAAAAATCAAGCTCTTATGATAGCCACTTTGGAATTTTCTCTTTCTTGTTTTCTTGTCTTAGAATGGATGTTTTTGATGACATTGCACAACTTATCTGGTCTTTAGTCATTAGTGTTTGGTGTGTCAAATCTATGCCTTGGATGCTCTCTAAATTCAGGTGGGATGTACTTGTGTTAGTCTGGGCTGACCAGGGAAACAAACTCATAGACACTCATATGTGTATAAGAAATGCCTTTATATAAAGAGGAAATGGAAAATAAAAAAAAAATCCTAGCCCAGTTCAGCTCAAATCCGTAATTTCAATATTAGCCCATATGTCCAATATCAGTCTATAAATTCCTCTTCAGACTCAGGCAACACATGCAATGGAAGATCACAGGCCAGTGGGTGGAAAGTCTTGTGATCCAGTGGTGGTGGAAGCATCTCAGTGCTGGTATGGGTCTCCAAATGGCTCCTCCAGCTTCAGGACTCTGGCTCCATCAGAGTACACCATATGGGCTGTCAACAGGAATGTCCTGCAGGGAGAGTATATAACCTGCCTCCAGGGAGGAAGACAGGAGTTCCCAGAATCCCCAGGAGATGTTCATGCCCACACAGATGCCTCATTGGCTATGCCTTGATTGACAGGCTAGATTCCACCCCTTTCCTCAAGTTGTCAGGAGATTAAGTAACTGCCACAGTACTCAAGGTCATTACTTACTTCTCCTGGACTTGTTTTAGGGATCCTGGTGATGTAGTTGTTACACATTGGGATGTAATCTTCAAGGTCAGCAATTTGAATTCACCACCTGCCTGGAGGGAGAAAGATGAGGCTTTCTACCTCGATAAGGAGTTATAATCTTGGAAATGCACAGGGGAGTTCTACCCTGTTGTATAAGGGTGCTATGAGTGGCCATAGACAAACTCAGTGGCAGTGAGATTGGTTGTATTTTATCTGTTTGTTTGTTGGACTTGTTTTAATTTTCTTCAGTTTCAACTTGAACTTGCATATGAGCCATTCATGGTCTGTTCCACAATTGCCTCCCTGACTTTTTTTAAGCTGATTATTTTGAACTTTTCCACCTCTCTTTAAACAGCTGTCAATTTGATCCCCGTGTATTCCAGGTGGTGAGTTTATTAAAAAATTTGCAGTGAGGACGTAGTTTGTCATGTAAAATTCTATTATTTGATCTCCAGTTTTGTTTCCATCACCCATATTTTTCTTTGTTTCCAAAACCCATATTTCTCATATTTTTCTTTGTTTCTAATGCCCATATTTTCCAATCAATGTTCCTTTTTGTTCCCAGCTTTTGCATTTCAATCATCAGTAATTAGTGATGCTTCTTGGTTGTATGTTTGATATACTTCAGATTGAAGAATTTTGTAGAATTTATTAAAATCCATGGCTGTAGTGATTCATGTACACATTCAAACAATAGTTTCATTAAGTGGTTTTCCTTGTAGGCACATAGATATTATCCGATCACATACAGCATCGTTTCAAGATAACCTTGAATATAATGACATTCCTCTTGAATTTATCACTCCAAGTACAGTAAACTATGACTGTCTGATCCAAAACTGCCAATACTAATCCACATCTTCTCCTGAATGCCAGGATACTGATCGTTATGTGTTCTATTTAATTTTTTCCATGACTCCAAATTTTCCTAGATTCATACTTGGTAGTTTCTCCATGCCATTAATGGATATTTGCAGACGTTTGTTTTTATTTTGAGTCATGCCGCATCAACAAACGAAGGCCTCCAAAGCTTTGCTCCATGCACACATCATGAAGATTAATTTTACTTTGGAAGGTAGGTCTTCCCCGCTCGGATTATTAGAACCTTTTCACCTGAGGGACTCCTCTTTGGGCATTATATCAGACAACGTTCTACTTCCATTCCTTAGTTTTCAGCAATTAATCCCTCAAAAGTGGACCGCCTATACCTTTGTGCTAGTCTGTAAGTTCTCCTGAAAACTATTTACCATAGGTGACCCTACTGATATTTGAAAATGTGTTGGCCTATCTTTCAGCATTATAGCAACATGCAAGCTATCATTGTACATCCAACTGCGAGACAAGTAGGGTTGAATTCATATCAAAAGATAAACTAAATGGTGATGAGGTGTTTTAAAATCACATCGGTAATAGAAGGAATGGTTAGAAGTAAGGATAACTTAAGAACAGTGCACTGGACAGAGCGAGCTTTGGAAACAAGGAAGCACTCAATAAATAGTAACAATGGATAAACTAGTGAAGGAGCAAACTTAATCCCACTAACAGCCCTATACAGTAGGTAATACAATCCCCATATTTTTTATTCCCATACAAAGAAGCTTGGGCCAGGTGAGGTACCAAGTTTTGAATTTGATAACCTGACCCCCAATCCATGTGTATTACTGAATTGCATTCAGTGAAGAAATTCCTGTTCTTTGCTTCAAGACAGGGCTAAGTGCATTTGAAGCAAATTCTGTTGTTCCAAATTTCAGATACACTTTCTCTGGGAGAATCTTCATGTACTCACGAATATTAATAATAGTGGCTAGGTCATCTGCCAAGGCTGAGGATCTGAACCTACAAATGACTAACAGGCACCTCATTTCCACTAAAAAGTACGCTGTCTCTCAAAAAGCTCTTATTTACCTGGAACTACTACTATGCATTTCTATCTGAATATTCAGGAAAGGATCCTGACACTGGAGAAAGCAGCTTCACTAGCACTCTTGCACTGATCGACTTGGGAGTGTGTAGTGTGTGTGTAGTACAAGATACCCCTTAGAGATTTGAGATAGAACGGTGTGAATTGAACTTAATGAAATTACTTAAAGAGAGACACTGTTAGGAAAGTATGGTGGATCTGAATTGTTACATAATTTTTGAATTTGCGAGTGTTCCTGTGGGTTATTTCCATTTTCTAAATATCTAAATATGTTATTCAGGACCCTCTAGAGAAAGTGAGAGAATGCATTTGAAACTGTGTGAATTGCTAAGAAATTAGACCTTAACAGAGTAGGTCAGTGGACAGAGTTTTTCGGTTAAAAATGTTGTGTGTCACCAAGCGCATTCTGACTCTCAGCACAGAGTCGACTGAAGCCTTAATGAGAGTAGATCACCGGGTCTGGGTGTCTCTGGGACCGCGGGTAGGCTCCAACCATTGTCCTTTTGACGCGCAGCAGGGGCTTCACCTTTGCATCATCCAGGGCTTCATCTACGAAGAGCTTCAAAAAGTTTATGGAAAATTCCGCGTTTTTAATTCCATTTTCCATGGACTTTTTGAAGCTCCCTCATCCCCGTCGTCGTCGGGTTTGTCAGTTGCCAGCCGGTCCGTGCAGACTCTGTGTGTGCAGAGCGGAAGTGGCCCACGGTGCTGTCAAGGTTGTGGCCTTTCTGAAGTGGATTGCCAGACCCATTTTCCAAGGTCCCTCTGGATGTGTTCGAACTTCCAACTGTTGATTCCTAGTCAGGTGCTTAGCTGTTTGTGCCACCCTACATTTTATAGTCTCGGGCTGTCTTGCTGTTAAACAACAACAACAACAAAAAGATGACAACGTCTCTTACATTGCATTAAAACCCAAGTTGATTTTGTTCTGAAAAGACTCACATTTATGAAGGTCTTGAATGAAGTGGGAGAAAAATGTAGAACAAAACTGAAAACGTCATTTAAAAAATTTAAAGATCAGGCTGACTGGGTGGTAGAGACTCATGGAACTCCCACAAATTATATTCCTCGGTCTTGACTCCTTAGTCCAGGGCCAGGCCTGGAACTGAACTCACCCCGGGCTCAATTTTCAGCCAAACGATAGACAAAGAGAAGAGTAACGTGAGGGAGGGATGCACTGTTTAGAGCTATCAACCATTTGAGATCCAAAGGGTAGCATTTATCTAAGAAGAAAGTTCAGAAGGGTTAGGAAAGAAGACCCAGAAACCGGAAACACAGGCAGGAAGTGGGGTAAAGGACCCTATATGAAGGGGATTGTCACAAATGGGGTTGAACAAATGTGCATGAATTATTGAGGGGAAAACCGACCTGCTTTGCAAACCTTCGCCCAGTTCACAATAAAAGAGTTTTCAAAGCATGAGTTAGTTTCGCAAAGAAAAATTAGACAAACATATTATTACTGCTGTGTGTGTGTTTTGTAGACCAAACCGTAGGTTAATTCTTTGTTTCGATTTCCAGCTGGTTTCCAATAATCCATGAAGTCATTTCTTCTTATATCATTGGTCTAAAAGGGCAGCAGATCTGTTTGTTTTCACATAATCAGAAGCCCCCTTGTAAGTTATTAACCCTAAACTGTTTTCCAATCGAGACGATGACGGCCCATGTTAGTTACTTTCATTTCTCTCGAATCTTGTGCGGGTTTGGTAAAATACGTTCAGGGGAGGAGGGATTTTTCAACTGGATGGAAATGAATCGCTCTAGCCTTTCTGGTTTTCTGGTAGAAAAGTGAGAGCTGGCTTGGCGAGGACAATGACAAGAGGCCTTCGTCTTTCAGCACGTTGCCAACGTGCTCTTTGACGTCCAGTCTCACGGACTCCAAAAACAAAACAAAACAAACTCCCTGCCACCGGGTTGTGATTCTATCCCAGAGAACACAGCAGGGCTGCCCCTGTGGGTTTCCAAGACCACGACAACAGATCTTTACAGGAGTCGAAAGCCTCATCTCTCCCTCGGAGAGGCTGGTGGGTCTCAAACTGCTGACCTTGGGGGCTCAGAGCTCAACCCTGGGTCACCAGGACCCTGCAGCCACAGAGATTTCAGTCCCCAGAGGGCCGATGGGGCCCTCCTCGTCAGCGCCTCCCCTCTGCTTCTTTCTTCCAGCGCGCACACGAAGGCCCTTCACAGCCTCCAGCCTCCGCAGAGAGGACCTGGAAGCCCTGGTGCTGCGGATGCCCAGCGCCTTGGGGAGCTCCTGGGAGCCACGGCCGAAGCAGAGGACGGCCATCTGGGGAGGCGCTCTGGCCAAAGGGCTCCCGAGCCAGGCCGGTACCCAGAGCCACGGAGGTGCAGTTACCACGGCACCAGAGATGCTCCCCAAGCATCCCCGTCTCCCAGGGAAAAGGGGACCCAGGGCGGACACCCCCCTCCAGGGCGGCGTGACAGGCGCGTCCATTCTTCAGCCCGTCCCCGCTGGCACACACGTCTCCTCGGAGAGGTTAAGAAAGGTTTCCTCCGCTCCCCCCGCCCGCCCACCCGGGCGTTACCATAAGGCTTGTTCACAGACCCCTCCTTGGCCCAGGGTGAATGCTCCCTTGCACTGACCGCTGCGAGGGGATTGTTCTGCGAGGGCCGCCCATCCTCCAATCAATGCCTGCCCGGAACAACAGGCAGGGCCTCAGATGCACGGGTTTCCACAGGACCATTGTCAGGCTTTTGTGGGGCATTTTTGAACCTAATAAATAATGTCAAAAGTCTCTATCGCAGCCAAAAGTGTCCCTGTGGAAGCATTTCTCATGGTATTTTTGTTCGAGGTGTGTCCCAGTGTTATAAAGAATCCGGGCCTGACAATAGGGATGGGGTGCATCGCGTGCCACTAAGCATGGTGCTGCCTGGGGGTGGAAGAACGCCTCTTTGTTTTGCTTTTGCAGGTAAACGGTTTCACTTGCCAACTGGGGCTTTAGTTTAAGGATGTTTTCTAAGGGCCTTTAGAATTTCCACACAGAGGTTTGGGAAATCTAATTGGATGTTGGTAATGTAATCGTTCACATGAAATCAGAGGACTCCTGGGTGCTTAAGGGAATTCTTCAGGCTATATTAAGGTGTTCATGTCAGAAACCTGAGCCGTGATCCCAGCCGGGGGCCCTGCAACACTTAGAACTGAGTTTCCTGTCAAAGAGATCATGAATTTTCCGATTCAGGAAAGAAAATGCTAGAACAGTGTGGGGAACTTCTGATTAATCTGGCCATCTCAGGGATGTTCTGGCAGAGACAGTTTACACAGCAGCATTTCAAGGGGATGCAATGAAGAGGCCAGCTTCATCAGATGGTTTGATGGGTCTTGTTTTGTCATCGAAACATAGCTGCAGAGAAAACCACAGATCAGCGTGGCCATGCATCGTCTGCAGTATTGCATTCAAAAGCCTCTTATTTCCCCACTGCAGAGTCTAACATATGGAGATGTCCAGGGTTTCCCCCAACAGAAATGAAATATGATATCCAATAACCGTTGACCGATGACCAATCTGTATCGTTCTTTCACAACTGGTTTCTCTGAATCATAGCATTCTCTGCGCAACGTACTTTAAATGATGCTATTGCTAAATGTTCCTGGTTCAAGATTAATATAATTTTATCCTACACATGTATTTGAGGATTCCTGGTGACACATAACCTGCTAACAGAAAGACTGACTGCTTGAATTCATCTGCTTCTGTAAAGAGGCTCAGTCTCAGAAATTCTGTAGGGTGGTGCTGCTGTGCCCATCCAAAGAAAAAACCAAATTCACTGCCATCACGTCAATCCGACTCCTAATGGCCATTCGGACGGTGCAGAACTGCCCCGTGGGTTGCAGAGACTGCCACTCGTTACAGCAGCCAAAATCCTCGCTGATAGGGTAGCTGTAAGGCAGAATCAACTCCATGGGAGTGGAAGTGAATTACATGCTGATTACACTTATTTTATGGCTTTGTTATAAGAGACTGTGGTTGAATGGTAGTTCTTATGGCTAATATTCATTGCTCATCTGGGTTCACGTGACAACTTCCTGCCTTTGGTTAGAGAAGAAGTAGCATGTGGACAAACTCGAGAAAGAACAAGAAAGAGCAAGTCCTGGTGATATGGAGGATTGCGCATGGGGCTGCTCATCACAAGGGTAGTTGTTTGAACCATCTCTTCCATGGGAGAGATGAGATTGTCTGTTCCTGTAAAGATGTACAGCCTGGGAAACCCCAGGCAACAGTTCTACTCTCTCATGTAGGGTTACTATGGTTTTATATATATTTTATATATAATATTTATATTTTTACAATAACAGGTACCAATACCTTACAGTACTGTGGTCCTGAGAAATAAACTCAAAATTCCATTCGAAGTGAACAAGGATCTGTGGAGACTGGTGGGATTCAAAGGAAGGATTTCTTTGCAAGGTGCAATCCCAGCGTCGCTGGGAAATGAGTCGATCTAGTCCAGACCACGTTTAGACAGTGATAGAGGAGGGGCAGCTGACTCTGACCCTTGTGGGCCAGGGGAATCCATGGCCTACCTGTGGACCAGAACGTAGATGCAAATGTACTCCTGTGGATGTACACAGATCTTTTCCAATGGCACCAAATCTGAAAACAGCACAAAGTAAAGTCATCGGGGATGGGTTGCTTTAGGAAGTAAGCATTGTGTATTCATGTATAGTACTGGCATGGAGAAACAGAGTGACATTCTATGGTATAAAATAATTGTTACATAGGTTCTGCATTACAGTTTTTTTTTCTTCTTCTGGGCATGTGATTTGACTTAGGATATATTTGTTATCAGATACTATAAGTGCCTTCTAAAGAATATAATATGCCACTCCATGGAAGAAATGTGTTTTAGATGTTGTATTGGAAAATATATATTGGTGAATTAAAAAATAGCTACATGGAAGAAATGAAATATTTAAGATAATATCTAGTAAATAATATTTTAAAGTATACATTTCATAGTGTTCACAAATAAGTCACTAGAGCCACAAAACCAACCGAACACTCGCTACCACTGAGTCAGTTCTGAAGATTGTTTTGAGATTTACTAAAGATGGCAGTGCTTTCAAGATTATTGGAATTGACCACATCAGACTCAGGGGTGGGATGAGAAGTTAATAGGGGGAACAATAGGCAGAGTGAACCAGAGAGCTAATCTGAGCCTGTAACTCCAAGAATGGTTTTCTCTAAGTGTGACCAAACTTAGTGTCACTTCTACCATTTGGCTACATTTTTTAAAACTCTCTTCACTCTTATAGTTGTTTTAACTCCACAAGATTGTTGGGGATCAAATTTCGTATAAAATAAAATTATTTTGAAAGTAAGAGCCCTATGTAAATAGGCTTTCTTGTCTTACACTATCGACTGTAACTTAAAGCAATGCTAGATTCTGTTCTTATAACCGACTTCATGGCTTATAGATTTAGCTGACTTACTGACTTTGACCACTATTTCTGGGACTGTACTGATAATGTTCCTCCTCTCTGCGTCAGTTTAATATATCATGTTCTTACTGTTCATCCCAGTGCTATGAGATAAGTAATAGCATTGCATGATGTTGGAATGCACCCAAGAGCCAATTGAGTCACGGTCAACTCATAGTGACTGTATAGGACAAGGTATAATTGTCCCTGTGGTTTCCAAGACTGTAACTCTTTATGTGAGTAGAAAGTCTCACCTATTTCCTAAGGAGCTGCTGGTGGTTTTGAAATGCTGACCTTGCTGTTAGCAACCCAACTTGTAACCACTGTACCACCACACAACAAAGTTAACCCACAGAATGATAGGAGAGACAAATTAATGCCTCCAGGACCCATGCTTACAAGCATTATACTCTAAGCAACAAAGAAAATGTAACAGTTTAAAAACTGTCTAATGAACAAACTAGTTCATGTGCAGGAAAAGTGCTGACTGTCAGTTTCTACACCCAAATATGATCTTTAAGCTCAACTCTCCAGAAAAGACTTCCAAACTATCCAGACGTGAGGAATTAGGCACTGTGTTTGTAACTACAAATATGAGGCGAAGGATTCTAAGTCACGTAAGGACCCAGAAAAGGGTTTTATCAGGGAAAGAATTACAGGTTAAAAAAAACTCCCCAAACTCCAGAATATTCAAGGTATTTGTCATTGCTCTGGCACTGCCCAAAGTCTGTCAATATAGTTCCAGCACCAATGTTAGCCACAACCAATTTCCCCCCATGTCTTCCTCCACTTCCCTGTCCCAGTCTACTCTTTTCTATCGCCCGTGGGAACGAATCGGTTTTTGTAAGTCAGTAGTCCTGACACCAATCATGAAATGCTTACCAGGTGCTGACCACCCAACATAATCATTGTGGGAGATCTGAGAAGTACAATTCAACTTCAGTGACATTGAGTCAATTCTGACTCATAGCAACCCTATTGAAGAGTCTTTCTTCAGGGTTCAGTGTGTGCCAGGCATTGGGCTGGATGCTAGAGGCTAACAAGGACACAAAACTTTTTGGACAAGATCAATCCTGTGTAAGACTTAGTTCATACATTCATTTGATCAATCTATTAAACATCACTGTGTACTAGATGAGAGCCTCTGGGCCACAGTGGGCTGTGGATTGAGCTTCAGACCCACCAGTAGCTCTGCAGAACAGAGATGAGGCAGTTCTATCTGACTCCTAGGGTTGCCATGAGTTGGAATCTACTCAACAGCAGTGAGTGTTTTTGTTTTGATATGCTAGGTAGCCTCTGCTGGGGACACAGCCCTGAAGAGTTCATTTGGTTAAGTCTCACGGAGTTGGTGAGACATTGAGTTATGGCACAATTGTGTTCTGGGTTATCATCCTTTAGTTGCAATCTGAGATCTGAGATCCTGAAAGGCCAGATGAGGGAAAATACTTTGGGTATTCCTGTGGCGTCAGATATGACCCAAGCTGAGATGAAGGGATGTATGACCTTTGTTTATGTTTACCTTACTTAGTGCTATGAATCATGTATTTTGATAGAGATCATTAATGTATTTGACTATGGGGTGTTATCTTGGACTTTCAAGAATAATACACAATGCATGTTATAAGCATGTCATACCATTACTTGATTCATAAGAAACTCCAGGGACAAAGTGGTTCAGCACACAGCTGACAACCTAAAGGTTAATGGTTCGAACCCACCAGCCATCTCTAGGGAGAAATCTGTGGCAATCTGCTTCCATAAAGATTTATAACCTTGGAAAACCCTGTGGGGTCAGTTCTACTCTTTCTCATAGGGCTACTAATGAATTGTAATCATCTCAACAGCAATATATTATGGTTTGGGGGTGTTTTTTTTAACTTACTATATAGTGTATGATCAGAGTGTACAAGAATTTCTAAATTCCCCAAACCCAGAAAGTTTTAGAAGAAAGATTGTGGTCCTGAATAATCCAATCATTTAACTATGAAAGGCAGTGGAAACTCACAGAAGAGAGATCATTTGAGGTTGGCGCAATCATCGAAGGCTTCCCATGGCAGAATTTGAACATGATTTTGGAAAGTGGATGACTTGAAGCAATGACATAGGGTAGACCTCGAATCCAAGAGATGTAAATTGAGAGGCAGATCAACTTTTGTGATATCT